GTCCCCTGGCCTGGGAAATGAGCCAGCTCTTAGGAGAAAACTTGGAAAGTGGGAATTGAATGTACCTTTGGGAATATTTTGGTCACATCATGCAAAGGCAAGTCATTGGCAAAGATCCTGATGTCTGGAAACATTGAAGGCAATGGAAAAAAGCCAAGAGAAGATGCAAGATTAAATACCATAATTGGTGACTCATCTCACAAGACCTCAGTCTAATGACTACTGAACAGCCCTGGTGAAGTGACATCTGTTACATCATGAGGAGTTAGAAGCAACTGAACAACAATCTGTTTCCTGTCACAGATCTACACATTATGCCCAGGTCTGAGTTTAGCAGTCTCGCTTTGAGTTAGTAGTATAAGGTCTCAAGTAATAACACTGAAAAATTGAAAGATACTAGACATTAATTCAGTGTCAAGAGTTCTTGCAGACCTTGCAGGTTTGAGACCTTGCACAATTTCAGCCCATTTTTTAAATTACAAATATAATTTTTCATTGAAGCAATTTGCGGGTGGGGCGGGGTGTACTGTAGATCAGGGGTCTCCAACCTTGGCAACTTTAAGACTTGTGGACTTTAACTCCCAGAATTCCTCAGCCAGCAAAGCTTGCCAAGGTTGGAGACCCCTGCTGTAGACACTATCTGGTTACCGGTGTAACAGAGGCCGTGGCGCCTGCAGGTAATGTCCGATGACCTTTTGTCATAAGGGCCCAGAGATGGTATTCAGCCGGTTCCGACCGGTTCTGACGTACTGGTAGCGGAAATTTTGACCACTTCGGAGAACCGGCAAATACCACCTCTGGCTGGCCCCACCCATCCACCCCTGCTCTATCCCGTTCTTTATTCCATTGTTGTTTTAGCTCAGCTAATTCGCAGGGCAGAACAGATTGCCGCGCCTCAGCTGAGCTAAAAACCAGCAGCATGCAAATTGGAATCCCACTGCTGTAAGGGCCGATGCATTTTTGTTATACCCTGTAGCTCATTTTGCTTATATAAGTTTCCATAGATACAAATGAGATTAAAAGTTTTTTTTAAAAAAACTCTTACGATGGAACCCAAATGTTGATTTTAGTTTGATAACTACCTTAAAAAAACATTTCTTCTGATAGCACCTGGTTGTTGATGTTCCGCATTGTTGTGTGTGTGAACACAACTTGCTTTCTGCTCCTTTCTGTCCACTCCACTGATAATCAGCTCCAGAGGAAGGCAAAACTCCTTTACTGAGATTGGATGTAATAGCAGAATTTTGCAAGTCCGATATAGGTATCATACTGTACATCTCTCCCTTCCTTATACTCCTGTGAATGAAGGAAATGTCTGAGCCTCTTCTAAATACGATCTGTTTGCGCTGAACTTCCTATACATATTTGCGTGTAAACCAATCCTCACATTTTTAACCAAAATACCATGAAAAAATATACCGTTGATAAGCCAATGATAAAGATGAAAACATACATACATACTTTTACTCTTTACAGCCTGACTTTCTTCTCTCCACAGCATTTTGCCCTTTTGCTCAAATATATCATCCAAGTCGCAATTCCTGATATCCCGGCCTGGGTTGCAGAAGAGATGGCTAAACTGGAATACCAGAGGCGGGAAGCCTTTAAGGTGAGTCTCACAAGAGAGATTGCACAACGTGGAGCTCTCTCTCTTTTTTTTTTTTGGAATATAGGTAGTCCTCCGTAAGATGGTTTTAGTCTGGGTTGTCCATTTGGTTTAAGGTTTTTTTTTAAGCTGGTTTGTTACGGTTTTTCAAGTGCAGGTGGTCCTCGATCTACAACCACAGTTGAGTCCAAAATTCCTGTTCCTAAGTGAGGCAATTGTTAAGTGGCTTTTGCCCCATTTTATGAGCTTTCTCGCCCGAGTTCTTACGTGAAACACTGCAGTTGTTGGGAGTTAGTAACACGGTTTGTTCAATGAATCCGGCTTCTCCATTGACTTTGCATGGCAGTAGGTGACAAAAGGTAATGTTATGAGACTCTGGGACATGGCAACCGTCCTAAATATGAATCAGTTGCCAAGTGTCTTGAGTTTTGATCATGTGACCATGGGGATGCCGCAACGGTTGTAAGGGTGAAAAACGATCATAAAATGAACTGTCACTAAGTGAACTGTTGTAAATCAAGGATTACCTGTACACTAGTCTGAGTCCATTGGAGTTGGGCAGCTAATAAATTCAAAGAAATAAATAACAATAAAAAGCTAGATTCTTGGAAAGGAATCTAGATTTATTGAAAGGGGGAAAATGGTTATTTTAAAAAAAAATTCCTGGAAACTGGAAATGTATACTTAGGCAGTGGTGGGATTCAATTTTTTTTTACTACCGATTCTTTGAGCGTGGCTTGGTGGGCATGGGTGTCTTGGTGGGAGTGGCAGGGGAAGGATACTGTAAAATCTCCATTCCCTCCCCACTCCTGGGGAAGGATACTGTAAAATCCTCCCCACCCCACTAACCTGCTTCCCAGCTCTGTTTTCCTATGCAGGGCAACAAAAGAAGACCCAGCCGATCAGCTGGGACTCAATGGGAGGCAGAGAATAGATGGGGGTGGGGCCAGTCAGAGGTGGGATTTGCCGGTTCTCCAAACTACTCAAAAAATTTCGCTAGCGGTTCCCCAGAACTGCTCAGAACCTGCTGAATACCACCTCTGTACTTAGGCCCCTGTTGGCCAGTGAGTAGCTACGATCCTTTTGATCGTCTTTTAAACTGACTCAATCCAAAAGGATATCACCTCCCAGTTGTCACAAATGAAAAGAATCTCTTCCTGCCCTGCAGTATTTTGCACTCCCCAATAATTCCATTTACTTATTTGCAAATTACCCATCATTACATTTGATTTAAGAATGTGACCTTTAAGGTCAATTCAAGCAGTAAAGTATGGAGCGTAATGGCAACTTATAGGATAACGCGTGCTAATTTCAGAGCTTGTGTCCCTGCCCCACCAGACCACCTTTTGGAATGATAGTTTAATGAAAGTAGTCCTTGATTTACAACTGTTCATTTAGTGAATACCTGAAGTTATAACGGCACTGAAAAAATAACTTATGACCATTTTTCACACTTAATGACTGTTTGTAGTATCCCCATGGTCATGTGATCAAAATTCAGACGCTTGGCAACTGACTCATATTTATGACAGTTACAGTGGCTCAGGGTTATGTAATAACTTTTTGTGGCCTTCGACAAGCAAAGTCAATGGGGAAGCCAGTTTCACTTAACGACCGTGTTACTAATTTAACAAGTGCAGTGATCGCCACAACTGTGGCAAGAAAGGTCATAAAATGGGGCAAAACTCATTTACAGACTTACAGATTAATCAGAGTTGGAAGGGACCTTATAGATCATCTAGTCCAACCCCCCGCCCAAGCGGGAGACCCTACACCATTTCTGATAAATGGCAGTCCAATCTCTTTGTAAGATTGGACTCGTTTAACAACTGGCTCGCTTAGCAAACAGAAATTTTGGTCTCAATTGTGATAATAAGTCGAGGACTACCTGTAGTGTGTGGACTTACGACCACAACCGAGCCCAAAATTTCTTGGTTAAGCTTTGGTTAATTTTGCCCCATTTTACAACTTTTCTTTGGCACAGTTGCTAAGTGAATCCCTGCACTTGTTAAGTTAGTAACCCGGTTGTTAAGTGAATCTGGCTCCCCCATTGACTTTGCTTGTCGAAAGGTTGCCAAAGGGGAATCACGTGACCCTGGGACACTGCAACCGTCATATATGTGAGTCAGTTGTCAAGCATCCGAATCTTGATCATGTGACCAGGGGAAATGCGACACTGGTTGTAATTGCAAAAAATGGTCAGCCTTTTTCAGTGCCATCGTAACTTTGAACGGTCACTAAACCAACTGTTGTACGTCAAGGATGGCCTGTCTTAAAAAAACAAAGGGGATAATAAAAGAGGCCTGTGCCCCTGCTTTTACCCTGTGTGTGAAAAAGGACAGAAACTCTTCAGGGGAGAAAAGAAGGGGAAGTGGTGGGAGGCTGCAAGAAGTGAGACGATTAATTCTTGTGCCACTATTCCTCCCCAGAAGCATGAACGACAGGCCCAGCACCACTTCCAACAACAACAGCGTCGTAAACGGGAGGAAGAGGAGCGTCAGCGCCACGCCGAATATCACGCCCGGAAAGAACGTGAGAGCAGCCGGGAGGAAGGCAAGGCTAATAGTGGTGGGCAGGATCCTGGACACGAGAAGAGCCAGCCCAAAGGGAAGGGTTCAGGAGGGTCGAGCCACGGATCCGAGAAACCCAAACGGCCCAGCTCCCTCCTGGCCACCAACAACGTCATGAAGCTCAAGCAGATCATCCCTCTACAGGGCAAGTTTTTATCAGGGAGCACGGGGGCAGCTGGCACCGGGACGGCCCGCTTACCCCAGTCCCCCACTAGTACTGATAACAAACTACCTGGGTTCCTTAGTTTCAAGTTCCTTAAGTCCCCAGAGACAAAACGGGAAGCCAACACCGAGAAGGTGCAGTCACCCACTAAGCCTTTCAACCCCAGCAAACTGTTCAACTTCACCAAATCCGAAGGGGGCAATGGGGCATCGTCCCCTCCGCGGCCCGGCCCTTCGGCAGATGCAGGCGAAAAGCCTTTGGCCAGCAGATCCCATCTCAACGGGTTGGCAGATGAGGAGGTGTCTGAGGACCTGGAGATACGAACAGTGGTGGAGGAGGAGGAGGAGGGGCCGAGCCACAAACTCTAACCAAGATGTTAGGGTGGGTGAGAGCTGGGAAGAGGGAGGAAGAGGAAGGCGCGGGTTGCTAGTTGGTTCCTCAAGCAGAACTGGGGCAGCCTCTGAGTCGAGTTGGGAGAGGTCTGCTGGGTCTTTCAGCCCCTTTTCCAAGCAATTTAAGGGCAACCCTTGCGGAGATTTACACTGGGGGAAAAGAAAGTTGAAGATGGTTCCAGGGAGGTTTTGATGGCTTTGACCAGGAGGCTCAGTTCTGATATGGATGGTTATTGATCTAAGTCAGATTTTAAACCGAGAATTCCCAAGAATAAGGAAAGCAAAGGAATTGCAAGTGAGAAGTGAAGGATATGAAGCAGAGGGTAGAGGGGACTTCCACTAACCTTTAACAGGTTATTTTACATATCTTTCTCCTTATTTTACCAGAGCTTGGGCCAGGAAAGCATCCTAGATTTTCTAAATGTTAAACCCACATTCAGAATTTCCAGGTGCTTCTCTGTCTTTAACCCGGATGGACAAGACTGCAAAAAAGTGGGTGCAATGTTTTGTTTGAGAAGTCACAACCTTTAACCTTTAATGACCTTTAAGTCATTAATCTTCATTGGAGTGTTTTTACTTTCCCTCCAAGAGCCCTTTCAGGTATTAGATAGAATTTCAGCCATAGCTAGTGTAGTCTTTCCCTGGATGTAAATATATTTTGAAGAGAGACACAAATACTAGAATCTGATGGGAGGAAGCTTTGCATTACTTCCCCCTCCTTCCATTTAAATCGTAGATGATCCCCACGCAGTCCATTTCTGCTTGAAGAACAGCCTCATGTGGCAGCAAAGCACAGGATTTTGAGGAGGCTGGAAGGGGAGGGGGAAGGTTGGAACCATTGTCCATGCATGATTGACAGCTCTTGCACTAAAACTGAACAAAAAAAAACCACGGTGACTTTCATGTTTCCGAGACAAAAGCTACAGCAGTCAATCAAAAAGAAAGAAAGAAAGAAAGAAAAAGAGTTGGGGCAAGTAGCATTAAGCGTTCTCGGAACAAAGATCTACCACCTATTTTCTTTCTACAAACTTAGTAATAAAGAAAACAAGAAATAAAGGGATGAGGGGATAAAAACCTAATTTGGAAGGCACTATTATTAATGATTATTAATTTTTTTGCAATAAGGACCTTGACCTGTGACAGGCTGTGCCAAGGAAATTTTTCTCAATTTGCCGCTTAATCGGGAAAGCAGATATAGGTAGTCCTCAACTTACAATCACCATTGGGATCGGAGTGTCCATCACTAAGTGATATGGTCATAAAGGGAGTCACGCCCTATTTTTATCACCTTTTGCCATGGTCATCAAGGAAATCGCTCAACTGTTAAACTAATCTGGCGTGTTTCCCCCACCACCACACCACCCTATTAACTTTGCTTGTTGGTAATCCTCTGGGAAGATCACTATGGTGATCTCATAAATCTTGTGGGACACAGCAACTGTCTTGTAAGTACATGCTTCTTGCCAAACGCACAAATGACTATGAGGCTGCTACAACAGCCCTAAGTGCAATGGCTGGTCACAAGTCACTTCTTTCAGTGCCATCATAATTTTGAACAGTCGTTAAACGAATGGTCCTAAGTCAAGGATTACCTATAAATTGAGCTTAATAGATTAATGACTTCATTGAGAAATCCATGCAGTTGGTCTTGCCAGAATGTGGAAGAGTTCTCTGCTGCCTCTGTTGCTGCCTTCTGAAATACTTCTTTCAGATTCCGTGTCCATCCTGCACACCAGGGATTTCCTGGTCATTTCTTTACCAATATTAACCCTATTAACCAGTTCAGACCTGCTTGGCTTTTTAAATATGTAGGTGCACCCACTTGCTGAGTTGAGAGGGAAGAGTTTGAGCTAAAAGATAGAAAATCCAGAATGAACGTCGAAATAAATAGGAGAGAGGGAGAAGGGAATTTTCTCATTAATCTGCCTCAAGTAGATAATAGCTATAATCATCACCTTCAGGAACGTTCTAACACTTTGGAAATGGGGTGGGTAGAATTTTTTCTTTTTCTTTTAATCAGGTAGCATGTCTTTGCCCTGCGGCCTAAATTCCTCACAACTGGTCTGGATAGGAAGGGTGAGGGGAAATCCTCCTTTTATCTGGCAGCCGTTTTTAAGATGCAAATCAGTGTCAAAAAAACTTGTGTCTTTTTTTGGTTTCTTTAAAAAAAAAAAAAGCAATTGAACCCCCAGCCAAAAAAATAGCAGCATCCCTTGATTTCCAGGCTTTGTAGAATCTCTGAACGTAGTTTTGTTAAGCAGGAGGGCTGTTGCAGAGAGCAGGCATGGCCTCTGCCCCCCCCCCCCCCAATATCTCACCCGACTTAAGTGAGCTGGAAGTGGCCAACTTAGCAACACAGATCTACGGAGGCAGCATCTGGAGCTTTTGTCGGCTTCCCCAAATTAAAGGAAAACTGCTTTGTCTTTTCTTTACTAGTCCAAAGGAGCCGGTCGCTTTGCAGGACAGAAAAGAAGTGACTCTAAAGGAAGGGATTTCTCTTGTCTTCTATACACAACCCCGTCCTTCTCCGGAGCAATTTGCCATCGCCGCAATACATCACTGACTGCTAATACATTTGCTCCTCACAAGCCATTGTAGTGATAAGGTTGGAGAGGGATTTCCAACAGGTGCTGGCCACCTTTCTGGCCTGCTCCCCACAAAAAAGCCCTTAGAGGATTTTCAACTACTAAACCCTCCAAGGAGGAAAAAAAACAAAAAACAAAAAAAACAACCCCAATAAGTGAGCTCTGATGTCTCTCCTCCGAATCACTCCTTTGCCTGATGGTGAAGCCAAGTGCTGGCCTAGCTGTATTTTCACCCACGCCAGAATGCCAAAAAAAGGGGACTGACCTGCATGGCTTTGATGCTCAAAGCTTTCTCTCTCTCTTTTTTTTTTTGCGGTGGCATCACTTTCAAGCTGTTTCGCAAGAGCAATAACACAACGCTAGCAGCTACCAAGTCCATTGCTGGATGCCAGCTCCATTTGATGGGCGCCAAGGAAATAACCAGGAGAGAAAGACTGGTATGCTGGCTTGAACTCGTCTGGGACACGTGTGGGTTTTTCACCACGGCTTTTCTGTCTTCTATCAAGTTGGCAGAAGAGAACCCCACTCGCAGCTCTTAGCTGTGACACCAAGGATTATTCTCTCCTCTTGGTGGACCTGCCTGCGTTTCATTCCCTAGCTAAAGTGAACCACTTTCATTCTGCTGAAGGGTTGGAGTACTAGAGGTCACCTGACTAATCAATCCATTCTCCTTCTGCTTCTTCTTCACTGCCTAAGCACGGAATGCGTTTCTCCCAGCGACCCAGCCAGCGTTCATTCATATTTGCCATGTCCAGCCAACCCAAGGGAAGGGGGGGGGGGGGGGGGGGGGGGGCAGTTCACAGAAAGGCATGATTTGAATGCACCATGAACCCTCCCAAGCCAGATGGGATTTGAGGTGGGCAGGAAGGCCCCCTTCTCCTCCTCTCGTGCCCTTCCGATTCTGCAGCACCCTAGGCCCAACTCAGATATCGATCTCAGAGTACCTACCTAAAAGCACCGGTCTCTTTAATGTCTTACTCTTCTTGAGCAATTCACTGTACCAGAGGGGATTTTTTTATAAAAAAAAAAAACGGGAGGAAAGCAAAGGGGACTATTTTTATTTATTGATTTGATTTGCTGCATTCTAATTTATTTCTGTGACTTGAAGACAAGAAGGGTGGGAGAATCTCAAATTTCTTTTTGAGTTATTTTTGTAAATTTGGCAGAAATGCAATAAAATTATATTTCAACAAAAGGAATAAAATTTGGGTCAGGGCGGGGCAGACACCAGCAGCTTCTTCAGCATTTATTTATACAAGGCCCTCACCAATAACTTTTTGCTACACTCACAGGATACATTATAAGGAGATTTAATTTATATGTCACCCATCTCATCACCCAAGCGACTCTGGGCGGTTAATCTGAAACCTATCGAATTTGATTTAGTCAGCATATCCCTATATATTAATATATAAATTGTGACTTTACAAGGGCCACTCACTTGGCTGGTCCACAGAAAAGGCTGTGTCAAACTCAAGCCGTGTTACCGCCTACTGCAGTGCATAAAAGCAGCCGCTGCCTTAAAGTTCTACTTTTTAAGGCAATTAGTGAGGCTTCAAGACGGCTTTAAAAATAAGTTTCCTGAAGTTTCATTTGATTATGTGCATACAGCGAGTATGAGAATGTGTATACATGTGAATCAGAGGTGTAGATATGCATGTGCCTTCGAGTCAGTCTTGACTCCTAGTGATGGCTTGGAGCAGCCTTGTCAAGGTTTTTCAGAAGTGGTTTGCCATTTCCTCCTTTTTTAAGACTGAAAGAGTGATGGGCCCAAGATCTCCCTGTTCGCTTTGTGCCTAAGGTGGCACGACACAAGATTCTCCCGTTTTTTAGCCACTGCACCAAACTTCTTTTAGAAATATAACCATGTGTTAATTGTGTTGCTGGAGTTACACTTTGCAACTGCTTAAAATAACCTTTGGTGACCCTGATCCAGCTAAAAGCAGTCTGGCTTAGTCTCTTGGGCCAAGCAAGAGATCTTTTTAGGGCACATTTTGAACTTTGAGAATATGGCACATGTTCCCACAAAATCTCTTTGAGGGAAGAGGCTGCCCACTCACAGAATGGTTGACATGAGGGATGTGAGTCCTTCATGCAACCTTTTCTGCTGGAGGTGGTACTCTGCTAGGCAACAAGCCTATTGCTCACTTCCTTAACTAAAGGGTTTCCTAAAAAATTGTCCGATGACCCATGGAATTTTATGGGTTCTATGAAAGGCGTTGAGGTGAACACGGACAATCCTAGAGTTAACTCCATGGATCATTATGTTAAAATACAGCCAGATTCTAGGTCTCAACTGCAACAATTCTTGGCAGCCACTAATTTTTGCTATAGTCTACTGGTTATCTGTGTTTGCAGCCCTAATTCAGCTGTCCTATCTTAGGTATCAGAGATTTGTCAGATCTTGGGAACTACAGAAATCTACTCACTGTTTTGATTATATTCTATCAAACTCAAAGACTTATAGCAACCACAGACAAATCTTCCAGAATGATCTTCCCTAAAACTGACCCTTCGTGTCTTTATTCATTCATTTGGGTTCACTTTATGCAAAAAAAACCCCCACCATTCATATTTAACAGACACTGGGTTTAGCTGACCCCTCTTTCCTTCTATTAATCGACACAGCTATAGAAACCTGGGTTTGTGCATTTTGTTGAGTCAAAACCAAACCACTCGTATTATGGTTTATAGATTGGAAGCTAAAAGAATTTCACAGAGTGAAATTAATGCACAACCAAACAAGAAAGCAAAGTCATGAGCTGCCTGCCACCCCAAATCTGATGTTCTCGCTCTGTAATTTGAAACTAGGATCCTGTTGACTTTGCACTATGTAATCTTACAGCTATGAATTGGGCAGGCCATGGTTCCAGTTCCACAATCACATATTGCCGTTGCTGACAAACAAAGTTGAATGTGTTGATGGTATACTACAAAAGCACTTTTTTTCAAGCCACATAAAGTCCTCATATATATATAAAATTCCAATCAAATTAAGTAAAAAGATTAGTTTTACTTTTACATTTAGAACTTAGAAATCAACAGAGTACATTCTTCAAGTGGGGCAGAATCCACTAAAACCAAATTATGTTTCCTAAATTACAAAGTATTGCACATGCATAATTTGAAATGCATCAATACAGCTTGCAGAATTCATCAAAACACACCATCATCTGACTTGGTGCACGGTGTGAACTAGACCCATTGGGGATTTTCTCCCCCCCCCCCATCTGTATTAAAGATGATGCTAGTTTATTACTTGGCAATGAAAACATTTGGATACTGCTTTTCACTGTAAAAACCTAGCAGCGATTACAACTATCACAAAAAAGGTAAAAAACATCCATTAAAAGAATTAGGGAGTTTCAGCTATTGAGAAAGGGTAACATAAAAAGGATGCACTTTTAAATCGAGATAAAATATACCAGAGTTGGGCTCTTTGAGTGCAATTTATTTGATTTTTTAATCCCACCTTTATTTTATAAAGTGGCTAACATGCATAATGCGCCTTCCTTCTATTTTCCCACAACAACCCTGTGAGGTGAGTTGATCTGAGAGTGAGTGACAGGCCCAAAGCCACCCAGCTCCATGCCTAAGGTGGGACTAGAACTCACAGCTTCCCAACACCTTAACCTCTACTACAGGAAGCTGCATCAATAAAAGATATTCCACAGGACTCACGCTAACTCAAGAGACTAACCACATCCATACCATCCTGTGACAGCTTGTGTTGG